ATAATGAATACATCAGATATAGGTTAAAATCAGCTAAATGGGAGAAGGCAGTAAGGAATGTGCTAAAACCTAGCTCAATTATGCTCCCTGCAACAGTGAGAGAGCCCGAGATGTAAGGGAGCACAAGTCGCTCTAGGATCTTGGCTGCAGGGCAGAGGAGGGAGATAGGGTGGTAGGAAGAGCCCTGGTTACCGGGTTTGCCCGGTTTGAGGATTGGAATAATTATTGAATTTTTCCAAATGGAAAATTTTTCCAAATGGCCCAAGTAGCCCCGCCGTGCGGAAATGGCCGCCATTTTTTTTTTTGGAATGAGATAGGACAATTCCGTCAATTATGTTTTCAAGCCAACACCTGGGTACATCTTTTATGTAAGTAAAATTTTTTAATACAGCGAATATTTTTTTTGCTACATACCTTAGCAGAAGTAACTTTTCAAAATAGCGTTTTTCACCATTTTGTCAAGAATTTTTCAAAGCTAGTAAATGTAGTATTTTTCGACTTCCTTTATACTACATAGATAGGAAAAATGTTGACGTTTACGCCACTATATTTAGTTTTGCAATGTTCCAATTAGTTTTGCTACTATAACAGTTTTACGCCATGTCGGAGGACTGTCCCGAGTTACCCCGCCAGTCCTGAGTAGCCCCGGTTGACGGTACATTCTGTTTACATTTTTTTGGCGGGAACTCATCACAACCGATTTCCGGACAAGCTTTACTGCATCCTGAAATCCAATGTACCGGAAACCTTACTTTTTTCTAAATAGTTGGCCAAAGACTGACAAATATATTAAATGCAAGAATTTCAATCTAAATGTGTCGGCAAGATCTTCTGAAGGCATAAATTTTGCTACTGAAGCATCGCCAAAGATCTTGCAATATTCATCCACTCTCTGCACCGTGGGCGGCTGCCAGCTGCTCAATGAAGATTTTAAATCAACCCTCACCAGTCACCGCAGTTGTTGTGTCTGCAGTATAGCAATGCAAAATAGTCTTGGAGTGTAAATAAAGTTGTAACTTACTGTTGTAATGCAAAATTACTCCAATCTTCAAGATTATTTATTAATTAATGAAAGCAACATTCTTCCTTATACAGACACAGAAAAACATATGCACAGAAAAACATCCACTAATAATAATTTTGACCTCAGTTACACGCATTTCTTCATAAATTTATTGCTTTTTGCTTTTAATTTGTTAATGTTATGTTGACAGGTACAATGGCAAGCTGTATTGCACTTCACAATTATTTATACAAGTTTTAAACTGAAATACTTGGTAAAATAAAAAAAAACTTGAAGAAAAGCAAAGTAGTATTATTAAAATTTATCAAAAATTATTTAATCATTACCTGTCCGTTCGTCTATGACCTGAAGATTTCGTCGACTAGAAAATGCGCTCTCTGTCACTCACTGCAGTGAGTACTGAGTTATATTTTTTTATAGTAAATTCACCCAACCCAATTAAAATGGTGTGAAATTACAAGCCATCCTGTGAGCTTACAGATACAGAAAAAATGCTAAAAGGCTGCTGATATGAAGCTTGCTGTGGACAAGGTTGTTGTAAATGCTCAATGGCATGTTCATGGATATGGTAATATCACATCAATAATACAGTAATATCACATCAATAATACTTTGGCCATGTTTTTGATTTTGTTTTGCAAACAAAAGCGGGGTCATAAACGATGGCCAAAGTCACTCCAGCGTTTATAACCTTGTTTACGACCCTGGCGTTTATGACCTCGGCATTTACGACCCCGTTTTTGTTTGCAAAACAAAATCAGAAACGTGGCCGAAGTCACCCCAGTTGACAGTAAGTAATGTTTATGATAATATCATCAATAAAGGAAAAACAAGTAATAATCACTGAAAATGTCATTTATTCAGCCTCTACATCATCTACAATGAAAGAGGAGGACTTCAGAGTACTGTTAGTAATGGATGAATACACTCTGCGTGCTTCAAATATTTTAAAATTAAGTTTTATTGCAAGTGTCCTGACAATGCCATTCGATAGCCCTCACAAAGAGCTATAAAATGAGCCTAAACTTGTTTTTGAAATGTTTCATCATAAGAAGTTATTAACAGTTATTAACAAAAAAATGATCAAAACTGTCCCGAGTAGCCCCGGTTGACAGTATATAGAATTGTGCTCCAGGCATCATAGAATGAAAAGTAATTGACCTGAACTATAGTTTGTTTCTCCAAAACATATGATGGTTGTCACTAAAACATTCCTTTCTGTTTCAGGTATGTTTTTCACAATCTTTTTTTATAGTAAATTCATTTAACCCAATTAAAATGGTGTGAAATTACAAGCCGTCCTGTAAGCTTACAGATACAGAAAAAATGCTATAAGGCTGCTGATATGAAGCTTGCAATGTACAAGGTTGTTGTAAATGCTCAATGGCATGTTCATGGATACGGTAATATTGCATCAATAATACGGTAATTAAGAGGCCGGTTCAAGGAGAGGCAAACTCCATGACCGTGCTTCTCAGCCAGCGAGTGTAAATCTGAGCGGCAGGAAGGGCATTCCGTCTGGCAGCGCAGTGACGGCGGCCAGGAATTCGGTGAGGGGGGGGGAGGGAGGAGTGGGAAAGGAATTCCTTAAGGAATGAAGTTATTGATTGCTGAAAATTTAATTATCGTCATGATATGAGAGTTGTATTGCTTACGAAGGTTGCGTCATGATATGAGAGTTGTATTGCTTACGAAAGTTATATCATGATATGAGAGTCGTAAGTTATTCCGCTCCTTTATTGACACGATTTTAAATTCCTCACATTATGAATGCGATTTTAATTCCACAAATATTTTTACTCAGACTCCCTGACCTCGCAACTCGACTAGCAAACCAGAAGTCAACAGGCACCTACAAAAATAAAGAATTTAATTTACTAAACACGCAGCAAAATACGCATAGTTCTGCTAGCCACGGAGACAGCGACGTTATCCTCGTAAGCAGCGACGATGAACGCGATGAAGTTGACGATGACATCGAGGTTAATGAGAATGAAGTGACGTTTGTGCGAGAAATTAATAGAAGTGTTGTGGATAATGATGCTTCAGGTGAGAAATAAATAGGCTCTGTATATAATAATAATAATAATAAAAATAAACTCTAAATAATAATAAATAATACTTCAGGTGAGAAATAAACAAGCTGTGTATATAATAATAATAAACTTTGTAAATAATGATAAAATCTGTAAACAAGAATAATCTCTGTATATAAGAATAAACTCTGTAAATAATAAATAAACTCTGTAAATAATAATAAATAATACTTCAGGAGAGAAATAAATAAGCTCCATGTAATAATAATAATAAACTCTGTTAATAAATAATAATTAATATTTCAGGTGAGAAATAAATAAGCTCTGTATATAATGATAATTAACTTTGTAAATAATAATAAATAATACTTCAGGTGAGAAATAAATTAGCTAATCGTCTGAGTCCTGTACAGTATTTAAACTATTAAAGTACTACGTTAAACTGTACTAAATACTAAAATAAACCACCAAAGTTTATATTATCAAACTACAGTATTTAAATATATTGGTGTTTATACTCTTACCGTGTAGAATCTAATGCTTCACGTTGCGAATAAGTAAAGTAATTAATTTTTGACTATCGTTCAGTACATAGACTGCAAAAATGGCTTGAATTTTAGGCTTTTATTGTCTATTGAAATACAGGTTTTTGAAATTTGAAGGATTAATAGCAAAGCAACGTATTCTACGTCGTAGTTATAATTTCTTGCGTAGAACACGCCTTTTACATCAACTTATTACCTCCTTATATATACGTTCATTTTTATGCATTGGGGCTCAATATCTGTCAAAATAAATGTTTATCCTGATTGGTCCGATGCACTTTGGTTTTCTGTGGTATTATTTTGATAAACTTGCTATGTTTGCTCTAGATACAATACGTGGAAATGTATCTTATCAATGAAGGAAGATTTATTATTATTACGTATTGCTTATTCAAGATGATAGACAAGCAATTTTTTTCCCTACAATAAATCGAGAAGGTTAGAGTACAAATAATGTCGAAACTCAATTGACTGTGAACGAAATAATTAATCTTAATCTCTTTGAAGATTATAGTATTTGGATAAGTATTTATGCAGGCTATTTAAGGAAAGAAAAAATCTCGTTCTTGACATCAACTATTTTGGTAAGATAATATCGTGATTTTACTCGCCCTGAGCGATCGATGCCTCAGTACCAAGTACACTAATATGGGCAAAATTGGACTTTCTTCTTTCTTTCATTCTTTCGTCATATTTCTTTCACCTTCTTTCGTCATAATTCCGACGAAATGCAAAAACCTTCATTTTCAACCGCTGAAATTGCAGCATGGTATGGTGTTACATTTTCTATTTTTCCAGGCTCGTATGTGTTAGCAAGGTAATGAAGATACCGGTAACTGTTCATAGCAACATTCGCTGTCTTATTCATTACCCGCCCTGTGCATTGTAGTGTATATATCTAATTTCAATTTAGTAATTTGAATGATTGGGCACATATTATTCATATACCTATATGGATTATCCAGATTTTTAAGAAAAATTTCCCTTCTATCAAACTAGGACGATCATGCAAGCGTACGCGAGTGCGAGACGCCGCGGACGAGTCTGTCTATATATATTTAGTTTCCGTTCAGGGGCCATACTTTCAAAATTCGCTAAGTTAACCTAAGTATTTACGCTCTATTTTCTTGTCTATGATTGGTGGATTTTGCTTGAATAAATGCCGCCAATGATTGGCTGATGAACTTATGATCTCTTTTTTTTTTTTTTTTTTTTTTTTTGAAAGTATGGCCCCATGGTAATGCATACAGATTAACCCATATTATTCATACCTCGACGAATTATTCAGCTTTCGGAGAATATTTATCTATTTTTCTAATAAAATAGGACGATCTAGCGGCGGCAAGCGTCGGCGAGTGCGAGACGCCGCCGACGAGTATTGTCATATACATTTATTTTCCATTCAGTAATTCATATCATTTGAACCAAATTATTCTTACATTTACGAATTATTCAGATTTCGAAGAATATTTACCTATTTTATAACAACTAGGACGATCTAGTGGCAAGCGTCGGCGAGTGCGGGACTCCGACGTTTCCATGACCGAAGCCTCGGTTGGATGTCCCAAACGTCTCGCTCCGATATTTACCGCAGCAAACCAGGTTACTTTAACATATGAATTCACGATGAGTCATAATTATTAAAACTTTTTGCCGATAGAAATGTTTTCTAGTATAATTTTTAGCTCTATTTATATTTTGTGTACTGTTTCATATGAACAATTAATTTTTTATAATTATATCTATTACTAAACGAGTATTAATATTAAATTTCTATATTAAATGTTTATCTCTATCAGTGCGAGCGTAACGGTAAAGAAGCATCGAGCTGAATAGTAAATTTAAGCCTAAGTCGAATGAGTCTAAAGGTCTGACCGGAACCCGACGTGCAACCCAATTCCAATCCTAATTTCAATTTCATAATTCATTACTAATTTAAATTCCAGTCACAGCACATCGAAACCTTCGAATCACCGGCGATGCCACGAATAGGAACGAACAAACGAAAAATTTTAAACAAGAAAATGGGCGTAGAAGAACGGAAGAGAGAACGGGAGCGAGTAAGAATGCAAAAGATGGAAGAGAAAGAAAGGTTAAAGCAAGAGAAACTGCTAGAGAAAGCGGCGAAAAAATCCGATACTCTAGCAGAGAGTACGAAGGTGAGTGTTTGTTGTGACTGATGTGTTGTGTTGACTGATGTGTTGTGTCGACTGATGTGTTGTGTAGACTGATGTGTTGTGTCGACTGATGCGTTGTGTTGACTGATGTGTTGTGTCAACTGATGTATTGTGTCGACTGATGTGTTGTGTNTTGTGTCAACTGATGTGTTGGGTCGACTGATGTGTTGTGTCAACTGATGTGTTGTGTCGACTGATGTTTTGTGTCAATTGATGTGTTGTGTCAACTGATGTGTTGTGTCGACTGATTTTTGTGTAGAACGCCCATTTTTATCATTACCTCGAACTATTATTTATTATATTCCATGATAATTCATGATATTGATATGAAATAATTCATATAATGATAATCCATTATATTCCATAATAATTCAATTCCTATTCACTCACTCCAGTGGCTTGTAATCCACATGAGTGAAGACCTGCTCACACACCCCAGCATGAGTGAGGTGCCCTCAGCTGCTGCTGCTGCAGGCCTCACGCTGCGGGCTGAGCGTGACGCTGTCGTCAGGGAGGCTGTCACCTTCACCAGAGTTAACTTCTTCAATAAAAAGGTTATCTTTATTCTAAATTGTTATCAACTTCATCAATAAAAAGGTTCTCTTTATTCTAAATTGCTAAGTTGTATGCACTTTTTGGGGAGGATATCAAATTTTTTTATATTTATATATTATACAGATCTTTATTCTTAATTGTTAAGTTGATATGCATTTATCGGGAAGGATATCAAATTTATATTTATATATTATACACATTTTTATTCATAATTGTTAAGTTGATATGCATTTTTGGGGAGGATATCAAATTTTTTTATATTTATATATTATATAGATCTTTATTCTTAATTGTTAAGTTGATATGCATTTTTTGGGGATGATATCAATCTTATTTCATATTTATATATTATACATTAAACTTTTAACTTATATTTTACATTAAACGGGCCTTGTAAATTAATTTTTTAAGTTTGTTTATCTTGGAATTAAAGGACCAAAAAATTGTGCCTTATCACAGGCAGTTATTAATTGATACAGAAATAATGATGTGATTTGTCTTAGAATTTAATACAAAAACTGTTTGGCAAATTTACAATTCTTCGGTTGAATATTTTCAAATCTCATAAAAGGTATGAAGTAGTCAACAATGTTAACATATTCTAATAAATAGAGGAATTGATTAACTGCAACGATATATATATAAATTAATTGCAATATGAGAACCAATTAACTGCAACATAAGAGCCCGTTAACTGCAATATAAGAGCCGGTTAACTACGATATATAAGGGCCAATTAACTGCAATATAAGAGCCAAATAACTGCAATATAAGAGCCAATTAACTGCAATATGAGAGCCAATTAACTGCAACATAAGAGCCAATTAACTGCAATATAAAAGCCAATTAACTGCAATATGAGAGCCAATTAACTGCAACATAAGAGCCAATTAACTGCAATATAATTCAATAACGAGTGAAGTTAGAGCGAACCAATTTAGTGAAGAATCCCATAGCAGATAGTCCCGCCTGTTGTGCTGCTGGCCGAGCTGAACCGGCCTCTTAATGTGTATGGTAATATATCAATAAAGGAAAAACAAGTAAAAATCACAGAAAATGTCATTTATTCTACCTCTACATCATCTACAATGAAAGAGGAGGACTTCAGAGTACTGTTAGTAATGGATGAGTACACTCTGCATGCTTCAAATGTTTTAAAATGAAGTTTTATTCCAAGTGTCCCGAGTAGCCCCGTGCGATGGGGCTACTTGGGACACTCTTTTTTTTGCTTCTGGCACCTAACGAATAGCATATGGAATTTTTTTGGAGAAGCCATGTGATAGCCCTTGCAAAGAGCTTTGAAATGAGCCTAAATTTGTTTATGAAATGTTTCATGGTAAGAAGTTATGAATGAAATACATTCGAAATCATCCCGAGTAGCCCCAGTTGACGGTATCTCATTCCAAGAAAAAATGGCGGCCATTTCCGCAAAATGGGTTAATAAGGGACACCCTTAAAAATAGATTTACAGTAGAACCTCAGTTAGCAAAGGCTCCAGTTAACAAAAAAATTGATTAACAACAAAGAATTTTTATTACATTTACCTTGCTCAGCAAAAAAAATTCACTTATCAAAAAATAAATTAGTGCATCATCAGTCATTACAAAATTGTACATAGAATGCTATATATAGAATTGTGCACCAGGCATCACAGAATGAAAAGTAATTGACCTAAACTATGATTTATTTCTCTAAAACATATGATGGTTGTCACTAAAACGTTATTTTCTGTTTCAGGTATGTTTTTCACAATTTTTTTTTTTTTGTTATAGTGAAATCACTTGACTTGATTAAAATTGTGCAAAATTACAAACCATTCTGTAAGCTTACAGATACAGAAGAAATGCTACATGGCTGCTGATATGAGGTTGTCAATGCTCAATGGCATGTCCATGGATGCTTTAATATCACATTAATAATACAGTAATTAATGAATATGGTAATATCATATCAACGGAGCTGGGCAGCACTATTTTGAAATGTAGCACCGCTACCGCTACATGCTCTAAATGTAGCGGGCACTACCACTAGATTGTAGCGAGTGCTACCGCTACAGTAAAATGTAGCGCTGCTACATTAGCGGCTACAATGGCCAAAATTATTGGAAATCTCTAAATATTTATTGTTCTTCTATTGGGATTTAATCATAAACATTTAATGATATTAAAACATTTTCAAAACATATCAATGCAACTTAATTGCAATTAACCTATTCGAACTAGTACGGGTTAGATACATTAAATGAAAATTGCAGTTATTTTTATGCTTTATCTTCCCTACATGGTTGTCTACTTTAATCTACCAATCTCAAAAATTAACCACATATACATATAAAAAATCAGTCTTTTTATTTGTATATACAGGGTGACCCCCAAAAAAGTTGCTAAAAGTAAAGGCTCATAACTTGAAAAGTATTAAGCGTAGAAAGATGAAATAAAAACCACATGAAAGAGTATAACTTCAAGTTTTATTTGATATCCATGTTACCAAAGTTCTCTATATATTTCATATCTAAAACTCATTATTTTTTTAAGATCAAGATTCCCCTACAATGCAGCTAAATTCTGAGCAACGAGTTTTCATTGTCAAACAATTTTACCTGAAAACTTCACCAACCAAAATAAAGAGAGGTTATTCCACCAAATACAGACAAGAATTTAGTCTCAACACAATCAAGAAGTGGATACGTCAGTGGAAAGATAAAGGAACGATCCTAAATCAAAATAAAGGTCATTCAGGACAGCAAAGAACTGGAAGATCAGAAAAAAACATTGCCATGATTGAAGAAAGAATTAATGAATCGCCTTTGGATTTCTTCCTATGGAGTTATGTGAAAGAAAAAGTATTCAGTACAAGACCAAGCAGCATTGACAATCTGAAGATAGCAATTCGTGAAGCTCTTGCGCTTATTGACCAGGATACCTTGTCTGCAGTAACCGTAAATTTTGAAAAACGTATTAAGCTGCATATTCAACAGCAAGGTCATTTTGAACATTTACTGTAATCTGAATAAAACTTGAAGTTATAGGTACTCTTTCATGTGGTTTTTTATTTAATGTTTCTATGTTTAATACTTTTTGAGTTATAAGCCTTTACCTTTAGCAAATTTTTTTTGGGTCACCACGTATACCCTATGTGAAATATTTTTGAGATTGGTACATTAAAGTATACATCCATGTAGGGACGGTGAAACATAAAAATAACTGTAAAAATAACTGTAAGGAAACTGAGACATGAAAAAATACCTGTAAGTGGTAACTGGTAACAACTTAACGAGTAACAACTAACATGTTGACACTAGTAACAGGCTGAGGTTGACAACATTACACCAAAATCTTTCATACAGCTTTATTCTGTAATTTATATTATGTATGTATCATGCTGGTTTTTAAATAATATATAATACTATAAAGTAAAATCAAAAGGCTTTATCTATAAATGTAGCGGTAGTGCTGTAGTGGCAAAACCTCTTATCGGTACTTAAATATGTAGCGGGCGCTACTGCTACCGCTATAATTGCTTAAATGTAGTGCGCTACTGCTACTGCTACCGAAAATGTAGCGGCCGCTATATGTAGCGTGCTACTGCCCACCTCTGCATATCAATAAAGGAAAAACGAGTAAAAATCACAGAAAATGTCATTTATTTTACATCTAAATTATCTACAATGAAAGAAGAGGACTTCAGAATACTGTTAGTAATGGATGAGTGCACTCTGCATGCTTCAAACATTGTAAAATTAACTTTTTTCGCAAGTGTCCCGGATTACCCCGTTCCCAGGGGTAAATTGGGATGGTTTTATTTTGCTTCTGGCACCTTACAAGTAGCATATGGAATTTTTTTTAAGATGCCATTCAATAGCCCTTGCAAAGAGCTATAAAATGAGCTTGAACTTGTTTCTGAAATGTTTCATGGTAAGAAGTTATTAACAAAAAATGCTCAAAACCATCCCTTTTTACCCCATTTGACAGTACACTTAGACTCCAGGATCATTATGGCGCCAATAATGATGACAATAAACAACTTGATGAGAACTGTTCAGGAACAATAACAATTCAGACAAAATTATAATGCACCATATTTCCAGACTAAGGCAACCAAAATTTGCAATACCGGTATTTCACTATGGACAGAACACTCATGTACTTATGAACTAAATAATACCTTGTTGACAAATCAATGCTTATCTGTTATTATTTATAAACAAATGATTACAGTGAAGTTGCTCCAACATCAAACTTATATTACAACTGGTTGGGTTCACTTTATATACTGTCAAACGGGCTAATCAGGGACAGGCAGGGAAATAAAGGACAGTCCTCCAAATTTTGTAGAAATGTTGTAGCAGCTAAACTAATTAAAATATTGCAAAACAAAAAGTAGTGTCACAAGTTTTAATGTTTTTCCTATTTATGTAGCATAAAGCAAGTTAAAAAATCATACATTTACTACCGTAAAATGGGGTTACTTTGACTGGCGGGGTAACTTTGACCACTTTTCGTTTTTTTAACAAAAACCCCCAAAACTCAAAAACTATTCGACAGAAAAATTTTGTCAATGGCCATCAAAGGCCTAATACAGAGGCTACGTAACAAAATAGAAAGATTTAAAAAGTTTGCATATCTAATAGGTTAAAAAATTAAAAATGTGACCCACGAAAAAAGCTATTATTTAAAGCCTGTCGGTTTTGAAATTACATCAAAACTATGAGAGGCAGGAGCCAGCAATTTATGGTGAGTAAAGCTAGAGTATAGACCTGTATTTTGCATGTTTCAATTTAAGTTTAACTTATCTAGTAAAAAAATGGCATCATTTTGAAAAAAAAGTGGTCAAAGTTACCCCATTTTACGGTACCTCAAAAAAATCCTTGAAAAAAAGTATGAAAAGTAAGATTTGGAAAAGTAACTCTGCTAAGGTCTGCAGCAAAAAAAGATTCACTGGAAAAAATTTTACTTACATAAAAGTTGCACACAGGTGTTGCCTTGAAAATGTGATTGACCAAATTTGCGTATCTCATTCCAGAAAAAAATTGTTGCCATTTCTGCACAATGGGGTAATAAGGGACACTCCTAAAAATGCATTTACAGTAAAGCCTTGGTTAGCAAAGGCTCCAGTTCACCAAAAAATTAATTAACAACAAAGAATTTTGATTAGATATACGTACCTTGCTCAGCAAAAAAATTTCACTTGACAAAAAATTAGTGCATCATTGGTCATGACCAAACTGCACATAGAATGTCATAGATAGAATTGTTCACCGGGCAATATAGAATGAAAAATAACTAACCTAAACTATGATATTTTTGTAAAAGAATACGAAGGTTGTTACTAAAATATTCCTCTGTGTTTCAGGTATGTATTTACAATATTTTTTTTTTTTTGTTATAGTGAATTCACTCAACTCAATTAAAATTGTGCAAAATTACAAGCCATCCTGTAAGCTTACCTACAGAAAAAATGCTATAAGGCTGCTGATATGAAGCTTGCAGTGGACAAGGTTGTTGTCAATGCTCAATGGCATGTCCATGTATTAGGTAATATCACATCAATAATATGGTAATATATGGATAAGTTAATATATCGATAAAGGAAAAACAAGCAAAAATCACAGAAAATTTAATTTATTCTGCATCTACATTGTCTACAAAGGAAGAGGAAGACTTCAGGGTGCTGTTAGTAAAGGATGAGTACGGTACACTCTGCATGCTTCAAACGTTTTAAAATTGAGTTTTATTTCAAGTGTCCCTTATTACCCCATTCCCTGGGTTAGTTCAGGAGGCTTTTATTTTGCATCTGGCACCTTACAAATAGCATATGGAATTTTTTCAGAGATATGATGGTCCTTGCAAATACCTTTAAAATGAGCCCAAACTTTTTTATGAAATGTTCCTTGGTAAGAAGTTATTAAGGAAAAACACTCAAAACCATCCCTTATTACCCCGTTTAAGGGTAGTATGTTTTTTTAGCAGTACAATGTGCATGAATGCCGCTCCAGTACAGTAGCTACTGCTGTTTTGCACATATGACATTTAGCTGATAGTAGGTACGTACTTCCTAGCTTCACGCTACAAACTTCATATGGATTTCCTCTCCTGGATTGCACTGTGGAGTTCAATTTAATTCATTTACTATTTTATTTGTACTGTAGAATTAGTGGCATTTTTTTAGTTTGACCTAAGCCATAAGCAGAGTTTGTTAACAGGCTTATGAATCCATCTGCTATTGAATTTCTTCCACTTACGCTAACCAGCCATGACTGAGCTTTTGGTGCAATAAATTCATAGATTTATGAGCTGTGGGCCTGTTTCTTTGAGCTTTGAATCCCTGTTTCTGGCCATGGAAAGCCATTTTTGAGTCAGGAACACTTTTTCCAATCTGTGGTATAACTCTAATTTAGCCAATGAACAAGCAGCAAAAACATTTTTTGCCTCTCTAGAGGCAATTAAGCAAGTAATAACATAGTAAGTGGAGGCAATTACATTTTTAATGATTGTTTTTATTTCAGACATCTACTATATTCCATATCAGCTTCTTCTGAGAATTCAAATCTTTTTTACCATGTCAAAAAATACATCAAGTTCCGAATTTCGTCAGTTAGATGTTGATCAATATAATGAGGATAATTTCAGAGAAGAAGATGGAGAAGTGACATTGCCTGCTGGCATTGATGAAGATACTGTCATAAACCTTCTGAATAAAGGTGAGCAACAAAATAACCTATGCATTTTGTATGGAAATTTGATTTATATTTTGATTGAGCCCTATTTCCCTCTGCCGATAATGATATTTATTACTATTGTTTAGATAATGAATTTTCTGTATTGAGATTTTGCGATAATTCTTAGCTACAGCAGCTTGATATGGAGAAGTAATAAATGAGTTGTGATGTCAGGAAAAAGTTATAGATAGTTAACATCTTGCAGAATTAAATGCATAAGCCTGTTTTTTGTTTTTTGAAGGGTAATACCATGTTGCCAACTGTTTTTTATATGCAATTATTGGCAAAACAATTAATAAAATAATAAAATTATGCATTTTGGCAATACAATAAGTTGCAACTAGAAGTTATAAACTAAGAAATTTTGTGTTTTTCTAGGTGAAGAGCAAGAAGCACTGCGCTTGCTGCTGGCTAATGCCCCTTCAGCCAGCAAAGGCTGCAATGAACAAGCCAAGGATCTTGCCCTCAGTCTAGTGATGAAGGTAAGAACAGGAATTATTGTCTTGAAGCCTTCATTTTTTTCAATAATTCGAAGTCTAAGCTAGTTTGAAGTGCTTTCTGCAAATATACCTATGTACTAGGTCTAAATTTTTGTTCTAATCTTCTGTTAACTATGCTGTAATAGTATTTTTTGCATTACAAAAAGGTGGTAGAGGGTTTGTTGCTTGCACAAGTTATGATGTTTATTGATATCAATAAATGTGATGTACGGTCCTTCAATCTTTGTAAACAGGCAAGCTACTGCTCTCATCCTTACCTTTTTTTTTTATATCCATTACTGGAACAATGACTGATGATTACCAGATCATTTTGTAAATGGGACAAAATCATCTAATATAAAAATGTATATATATGCCAAAATCTCCACATGATTTCTTTTTCATTTAGATTGTTTGATTTTTGAGGGGAAGATTGATGCTAAATAATAAAAATTGATGATGTTTGCTTTGTTTTAAAGTGATGAGATTGAAATGCCTTTAGTATATCTGAGGATCAAGCTGGATTGTGTCAAATTGATTGACCTTGTGCATTTGGGGCCTTATTTTATTATCTATTATTACTTACTATCTATTCTATTCTTTTTTAAGGACAAACAAATGAAGATCCAGCCTTCAGTAGCAGTATTAATGCTGTGCTTTAGTCATATTCTCATATTATGCAAATATTCCTTAAACCATCTGAATTGATCTAATAATTAATTAATCTAATTAATTGATCTAAGTAAGTGGTCTAATAATAATAATTGATCTAATAGTAATATTTGAATTTAGACAAGGCCAAACATTCACCAGCTTTATCTGCTCATTTGGTAACAAGTGTCAGAAGCATCTTTCCTGACCCATATTTTTATGTCTGCAGGTTCTGCTTAACAAGTCCATCAACAAAACAAAGATGGATGAAATTATTGGTCAGTTAGACCAGTCGTTGCTGGATGTACTTATGAAGTACATTTACAGGGGCTTTGAAAATCCCAGCGAAGGTTCGAGTGCATTGCTGTTGCAGTGGCACGAGAAAGTCTTCAATGTGGCGGGCATTGGCTGCATTGTTAGAGTTCTATCTGATAGGAAGCGTGTGTAACTATCAACAGTTTGCATTATTATCAATAGTGCAAAGTACTATTATTTGTACTATTATCAACACTTGATTGTCACTTCAGAATTAGTTGGCAATACATAGAAACATGTTTGGTCATAAGACTTAGTTTGTAGGTGTACGTTTCAGTGACAAAACAACATTCATAACAGCACAATCAGATTATAAAAAGCAATTTTTATTAAATAAACTTCACGCCTAAAAAACCTAATTGCTTGTTGGTCTGTGCTTGAGGAAATTATTTGAGTTGAAAATTATATTGAAGCATGAAACCCTAGAATGAAATAAAAATAAAACTTAAGATATGTTTCATATGATTCTTGGTCAAAATGCAACATTTTCATAGACATTGTTACATAGGGAACAAGTTTGTTGTTCTTGCTGGTATATTTTGAGAAACTTTTGTTTACACAAATTTAATTCTTTTCACAAATGACTATTAAGCAAACTGTTAAAGACAATGTCTCAATTTGATATTGAATGATAACTCAAAATTACACAACTGAGATATTTACATTCCATTAAATACATGACATGCATTGTATTGAAATTTTTTGGAGTTGATGAAATCTTTGTAAAATTATAGCCTCAGCCCTTTGTTATAAGAAAGACTAGTGAAAAACTTGCAATTGGAATGTTCAAGGGCTTGAAAACATCTATGAATCTACTTAACACCCCACAACATAACTTGACATTTACAAGCTTCTCATTATGCAATATGGCTTTTTGTGTCGTGATTTTACACTGTTTTGCTATCAATGCAAAACTTGGCATGCATAAATAATATGTTAATTTTTGTTACGATAGCAAGTTCTTTTCTTAGAATTAAACTTTGTGATGTTTGTTGATGACTATTATAACAAATCTTGTAATGAACATGCTTTTAGCTACAAATCTTGATTAAACTTCCTCTTTCTCTTGCAAATGATTGGTCTCTAATCCAGGTTATACTCGATTCTTGTCATTGTAATATTTTTCACAAGAAGTTCTTTGTCTCCAAATGTGAAGTTTTTTGCAAGAAGTTTTTTTTCTCCTCTCCTTAGCTGACATTTTGACATTTCAAATTTGGTTAGTGATGGACAAATGTTGAGGTTCAATGAAATATGTAGAGTCAGGCTATTTGAAATATTTTTGAAATCAGGCTAGGAAATATTTGAGACCATATATAATTCTATGATTTCCGTGTCTGGAAAATGTAATGTGCCATTTCAACAGTGACCTAATTCTCATATAAAATCAATTGATCATGGAACTTTGTGCATCCTTAATTCTATTTCTATCTTGGGTGGGTAATTTTTCCCTAGAACAGCCACTTGATTTCAACATTGGAAAAATCAATATATAATATAGTATATGCTTATATTCAAATTCTTGTGTATGTGATTAATAATCTATTAATAATATTATAATCATGTGAATTGCTTATCATAATACAAATTTCCTCATGCTTGCCAATTAGTAAATATATTGTGCTTCCTGTGAGTGGTATGTGAACTGTGAAATAACTTATTGTTATTCCATGAGTATATCTCTTGAAATATTGTTGTATAGTTGACAGGAGAGGTTAAAAATAATTGTTTCTTGATGATTAATTCTGACTTACTTTAACCATGATTTATTTTTGTGATCAAGCATTAGCCGTCATATGAACCTAATTTTTTTAATATCACTTTTTTTGGAAGTGAAGATGCTTAAAGAGCTATCATTTCATATCATTTTTGATAATAAAACATGATAAAAGTTAAGAATTTTTGCTTATTGATTTTGCTCGTTCTGAACTTAAAATTTATTGGAAGTTTCCAAATATCTTTACATTCCTATTTAATTTAAATAATGTTATGCAAAAACATTAATGATGAGGTGATGTTACTGATGATGCTTGATTTCACGATTATAATTTTAGTTAATTTTGGTTTTGAAAAATGTGACAAAATTGAGGGGTTTCTATAGTTATGCAAGTAGAGCTTCAAAGACAATATCGTTATCATACATCACATATTGAAAAAAAGTCTTTTGGCTACTCAGGAAATGAAAAATGATTTACAATTAAAATGTTGCTTGCTGCTGTGTTTAGGGCTCTGATACTGTCCGCTGTGTGACGTTGCTTCTTTGCTATTTTTTATGCTCAAATTCTTGTTGTTTTTGAAGCTTTTACATGCTTTTTGCTATTTATTTACTTACTGTTTGGTATTTATTAATTTACATTCTCCTTTTACACAATTTTTTTACTTAGTGATTACTTTATTCTATTTTATTTCCGTGTACGTTTTTATTGTATTTTCATATAATGCTATTAAGTCGTATGGTATTATTTAATACAAATTTCATTTTGTTTTGCAGTGACATTTGTTTTGGAATTTTGTTTTGCTTAGAATAAAGAAGAGACATAGCAAATATTTATTCCTGGCAAGAATATTAGCAACCATTGTGAAAATATCAACATTTTCATTTGATAGGAATCTAGAGCATTAAATGTTACAATATTACAGTTACAGAACTGGTAAATATTCTTGAATAACGTATTTATTGCATCTCGTTAAAATTCTGGCTACTGGTTGTGAAATTTTGTTAAGGTTAAATAAAAATAATTTCTATGTATTAATGCATGATTCTGATGATGTTTATCAATCATCTTTGTGACCCATAAGCTAAGAATGTTTTCTGGACTTTATTTCCTGAATTTGTTTCTTCAGTATTGGAATAAAAATGTTTCATGAGACCCTATTTTCTATTAACACTTTTCCATTAACAACTTTGCTCCAAGGCTTAGTTACTCCAATTTATCCATCTCCTGTCTTTGCTGTAAGACTTGATTACTTGTTTTTGAAAACTTATTGTGATTTATTTATATTAAATGTGACAGCGTGAACTCTTTAATACTTTATTCCAGTTGAACATACAATTATTATCAATGTAAGTTTTGACTTTCAAATTATTATATTAGTACGGTATATAAATAATGATCATTTGCTATGAAAATTAAAAACATTCTTTAGAGTTGCCAAATGCCTCAGACAGTGAATTGCTGAGACTGACGTTGAATTTTATCACTCCTGATATTTTTCCTCCATCATTTAATTGATAATTTTCCAAATCAATCTTAAAATATTAATATTATAGGACAAATCCCAACACATTGTCTTTTTATAATACTCAACTTATGTCCCATGCAAAAGAAAGCCTCCACATTTTGAAGTAAATGAATATTCACTGTTCAGCTAACTATGTTAAATACATCGCAAGATTTTATTTGAGTATATATTTTTCCCAAGAAAATATTTGTGTAGATAAAAAATATGAAATTTGGAATTTATGCCCTTTCTTGGTGTAGGTTTTGAATTGAATACTTCCAATTTACGAAAACTTTAGTTAGATCAGTTTTCAATTTTCTAATTATTGAGTTGCTCTGACGAATTTTCAATTAGGATTTTTTCTAGCAACTCACAATAGAGAGCCAAAACAATTGTCATCTTTTAGAGTTCTCTCAATAACGAGAAGCTACGCAAAAAGCGCCTTCGTGAGGATTGTGGGGATTATTGCTGCAGTTTGAGCCAAGCCCAGCCTAACGCCATTCATCGGTAAGACATTTTAACATTAAAACATATGATAAAATTTACATACTTGTATGGGATGAGCATAACGCAATTAGCTTGCACAGTGTCGTTTTACTAGTGCGTTCCGTGTCGTTGCTGTGAACGTACCGGTGTATATACTACCTGCTGCAACAGTATAGTTTTGACACTCCTTTGCTTCCGTTGGAAGGTAATTATTATTAATAACCTCCTTTGCTTCCGCTGTGGAGCTCGAGGCATTATAAAATAATAATAAATAATAATAATGGTAGATCTCTCTCCCATTCCCCCCTGCGTCGTGATGTCGTAGCTTAGGTTGCGATAATATCTCGACAAGCCTGAGGCTCGGGGCAGATCAGTTTCCTGTAGCATCGAATTCAGTGTCGCATAAAGTGATAGAATAGAATAGAAGTGTCGGCGCTGAAGAATAGAATAGAATAGAAGTGTCGGCACTGAAGAAATAGGCCCATGGCCTGTTGCTGATTCTTGAACTTTTCGTGACTTGATTCACAATTAAGGGATCCGGCCTTAGACAACACAAATGTATTTTTTATCCAATATCTCTTGTTATTACTTTTGAAGCTTACTCTTACGTGAGATATGGGTAATGTGGTCACTGAAACAACATAGAAAACGAATCATTTTCTTTTTCTCATTTGGACTTGTTGAGATAAATGTTGAGACGAAATGTTGCTGTTTCGTCATGTTGAGACGAAATGTTGAGATTAATGGATTACTTTTGTTTCGCATTTCCATGCTATGGAGGCAAAAAATGTAACTATAGTGAAGGTCTTTTTTTAGATTGCAGATGAGTGGTTACATTCAACGAATTATCTTGCACGTAGCGATATCAATTCATTGCTTTGACCGCTAGTCTCGGTTTGCCTTGAATGAACCGCGTGTGCAATGGACGACGACCTGGCGTTCTCTTCTGACGAGTTTGACGAGTAAGTGCGCGTTGTAGGTTTTTTTTGTTGATTACTCTGTGATTTTAATGAGTTGATTTTAATGATTAATGCATTTAGTGTCTGAGTTTGTTAATTACAGAGAAAATGATTGTCGTTTCAATGGTTGACCAGGTTACTTTATGATATGCGATAGAGATAGAGAGATAGCAATATGAGAGTTGTATTGCTTACGAAGGTTACGTCATGATATGAGAGTTGTATTGCTTAGAAGGTTACGTCATGATATGAGAGTTGTGTTGCTTACGAAGGTTTCGTCATGATACGAGAGTTGTATTGCTTACGAAGGTTACGTCATGATATGAGAGTTGTATTGCTTACGAAGGTTACGTTATGATATGACTGTCTCTTATACACATCTAGATGTGTATAAGAGACAGCATAAGAGTTAATTAACTGCAACATAAGAGCCAATTAACTGCAATATGAGAGCCAATTAACTGCAACATAAGAGCTAATTAACTGCAACATAAGAGCTAATTAACTGCAATATAAGAGCCAATTAACTGCAATGTAAAAGCCAATTAACTGCAATACAAAATCCCATGAACTGCAACATAACCAATTAACTGCAAAGTAAGGCTCATTAACTGCATTATGAGAGCCAATTAACTGCAATGTAAGAGCCAATAAACTGCAATATAAGAGCCCATTAACTGCAACATAACCAATTAACTGCACAGTAAGGCTCATTAACTGCAATACAAGAGCCAATTAACTGCAACATACGAGCTCATTAATTGCCAAGTAAGGATCATTAAGAAGCTATATAAGAGCCCCTTGACTGCAATAAAAGAGCTCGTAAACTGCAATATAAGAGCCCATTAACTGCCTAGTAAGGCTCCTTAAAAAGCTATATAAGAGCCGATTAACTGCCAAGTATGGTTCATTAAGAATCTATTTAAGAGCTCATTAACTACCAAATAAGGCTCATTAATTGCTTAGTAAGGCTCAATAATTGCTTAGTAAGGCTCATTAAGAAGCTATATAAGAGCCAATTAACTATTAACTAAGGCTCATTAACAGCCAAGTAAGGCTCATTAACTGCCAAGTAAGGCTCATTAACTGCCAAGTAAGGCTCATTAACTGTCAAATAAGGCTCATTAACTGCTTAGTAAGGCTCATTAAGAAGCTATTAAGCTTCCCTGTGCAGGAGTCGTTGGAGGACCACGCGATCGTGGTGCCGCGCTTGGAGCAGTTCTTGGACCTGGTGCAGGGACAGGTCAGGTCAGTCTACTCAAAGAAATGAGAGGAACTTTGTCCTAATTTACTGTTTCGTGCTTGAGTGCGTCATTCTGACCCAGTTTGGCTCAGCAACAATGCATATCAGTGCTACCTCCGCTCTCTGCTTGTATAACGGACTAAAAGTATCGTTAGTTGGACAATATGGCTTCATTTTCTGAGTGTATAACTCCATTTTGTATGTGCAAACAATTGAATTATTTTGTGTTTAATATTGGTATAAAATATAAATTAATTCTTAGTCGGTATATAATGAAGAGTCTTTATAACCAACCATCAAGGCTGCCCAAACATACTGGACTGACTTTAAATTTTGCATGTAATTAAAATTAAATGATCCCAGAAAATAATGGAGAAAAATTTAAATCAAAGTATTCCAGAAAATAATTTAGTAAATAAATGCAAATTGATTGGAAATTTCTAGCAGAAATGCGTAAACGCGTATAGCGGAATGGGGCGGGTAGGCAAGCAAAACTCTGGAACGATAACTCCTAACACAGTGTATATAGAAGTTGCGCAACGTCATACCGATGTACGCTGCTGCGCACTGCGCACAACTGTATTTATTAACAAGATGTGACTGCATCCGAGCAGCAATAACATCCTTTAACCGGGCTCCACCTCTGTTGTCTCACATTTTAAGGATCTTTGAATTACTGTACATTTTAATAGGATACCCCTAATGTTAACGCGCTAATAATTCTTGTCCGTTTGAAATTGCTAATGAATTGAACTTTTTTGTCACATAACAATTTTGATTTGGTCATTTATGTTTTAGTCTCTTCCTTGTACATTTTGGGCATTCACTTGATTGCATGATGTCTGGTAATGCAGAAAGTATATATACGTTATTTTGACATAAGTTGACATAAGTAACTACCGTCAACTGGGGGTGACTTCGGCCGCCGGGGTGACTTCGGCCGCGTTTTTGATTTTGTTTTGCAAACAAAAGCGGGGTCAAAACGATGGCCAAAGTCACTCTGGCGTTTATGACCTCGTTTACGGCCCTGGCATTTATGACCCCGGCATTTACGACCCCGTTTTTGTTTGCGAAACAAAATCAAAAACGCGGCCGAAGTCACCCCAGTTGACGGTATACGATAGTTATGTCAACTGAGGCATAATTTTCCGTGGCAGCGGTCAGGGTGCCACGCTGCAGGATGAGTGCCGTGCGTGGAAGAGGCAGCTGTGCGTGACACGCCTCACCCTCTTCGTGTGGCAACTAGAGCCTCATCACAGGTGCGTGTGGCAGCTGATGCCTCGTCTTAGGTGCGTGTGGCAGCTGCAGCCTCATCTCAGGGGCGTGTGGCAGCTGATGCCTCGTCTCAGGTGCGTGTGGCAGCTGCAGCCTCATCTCAGGGGCGTGTGGCAGCTGATGCCTCATCTCAGGTGCGTGTGGCAGCTGATGCCTCATCTCAGGTGCGTGTGGCAGCTGATGCCTCGTCTCAGGTGCGTGTGGCAGCTGATGCCTCGTCTACCCATTTATTTTTCTCAGTGTAGCAGCATTCGATGCCTGGTTGTTACTCGTGACGGTCTGAAAATTTCTTGGCTTGAAATTTGAATTAATTTTTCCTATTTATCATCGATGACTTGTTTTATTTATGCTTCATTTGTGGCATTGAATGGTCGTCAGAATATTGAATTTACTGATAACATCTCTAACATTTTCTCGTATATCATTCATTTGTTCAATATACTATAAATTTATCATGGTCATTCTTTATACTCGTAATTTTATTAATTACTTAGAAATTGCAGAATTTGATTAATTACTTGGAAATTTATGATTTATGAATCGCTAATTATTTATGGATTAATTAATTAGAAATCTACCTATGTTATTTTCAGGAGCTTGAAGAACAGCCAGAAGAAACAAAGCGGATCTTTTGTTCCAAACAGGCGAGTTGACGTTAAAAAATCAAGTCGGTCTATTTCGTTAATTGTAAAAGTTTGATTTTTATATGATTATTTTAGTTATCTGCTTTATATATATATATATAATTTGATTTGTTTTATAAATATTTTGATTGTTCCTACTACTATTGATGTGCGTAATTTCTTTTATTTAAACTTGTTAAAAAGAATTTTTTCTCATATATTACCGAAAATATAACGTCAACGCAGTGCACATTCTGCCTTAACAGATATTTTTCCCTATGATTTGATGTCGGAAAATTCTGTCTTTATAAATGAATATTAAATATAAATTGTAATTAAAAACAATTATTTAAGTACGGGCTTCCTTCCGTTGCTAAGTCTCGACTTGCGCTTGTCCATGCTATATAAAAATGAATGATATGTATTGTTATAGTGTGAAAGTTATTATTACGATATAAAAATAAATAATATGTATTGTTGTAGTTTGAATGTTATTATTACGATATAAAAATTAATAATAGGTATTGTTGTAGATTGAATGTTATTATTACGATATAAAAATTAATAATAGGTATTGTTGTAGATTGAATTTTATCATTACGATATAAAAATGAACAATAGGTCTTATTGTAGTTTGAATGCCATCATTCCAATATAGAAATAAACAATAGTTGTTATTGTAGTTTTAATGCTATTATTCCGATATAAAAATAAATAATAGGACTTATTGTAGTTTGAATGATTGCGATATAAAATGAATATTAGATCTTATTGTAGTGTGAATGTTATCATTATGATATAAAAATAAACAATAGGTTTCACTGCAGTTTGCAACAAGTATCTCACTATTATCCCAGGCTGGACGTAGAGACAGCCCTCGCGGTTGTACAGTTACAAGAGCAAGTCAATCACCGGATCTTCTGCACCGCATAATAAATATATTTATTTATTGCCGTAGTGTAAATGCTATCATTACGATATAAAAATAAGCAATAGGTCTCACTGCAGCTTGCAACAAGTATCTCACTATTACACCAGGCTGGACGTTGAATATTAAGTCTTATTGTAGTTGGAATGTTATCATTAGGATATAAAAATAATTTATATGCCATATTATAGTTTGAGACGAGTGTCTTATTATTATACCAGGCTGGACGTAGAGACAGCTCTCGCTGTTGTACAGTTACAGGAGCAAGTCAACCACAGGATCTTCAGCTCCGCATAATAGATATTGTCGTAGTGTGAATGTTATCAATGCGATAAAAAAATAAATAATAGGTCTCAATGCTGCTTAAAACAAGTGTCTTATTATTATGTCAGGCTGGACGTCGAGACAGCTCTCGCGGTTGTACAGTTACAGGATCAAGTCAATCACCGCATAATAGATATTGCCGTAGTGTGAATATTATCATTACGATATAAAAATAAAGGTTTCACCGCAGTTTTTTCTTATAAGTATAATTATATACCTATACTTGTAAATGTAATTCTTACATATTCCTATAATTGTACGTCTTATATATTCTTATAAGTATAATTATTATTTTTTTATACGTATACGGTAATTACTGTATATTCATACAAGTATTATCCTCATATATTCTTACATGTGTAATTCTTTTATATTCTTACGAGTTGATTGTTGTGACTTTATTTACTGAGAGCGTTGATTGTTGGCACTTGATATTTCTTGTCTGCCTCGGTGATGATGGTGTTGAAGAGGGTGAAGGTGTGGTCAATGTTGGTGATGGTTTGTATGTTCACCTCCCGGAAATGAGCCTTGCATGTTTCCATGATGAAGTCTTCCCAAGAACTTCTGTTATAATTGTGAATGTTTTGTGAAGTGTGCAAGTTGGTATCTTTGGTGGAAGGCAGTGTGATGATAATGAGGAAGTGGTCGGATGAGAGGTCCGGAAATCCTGTGAGCGGTCCACAGGATTTCCTCTCCAGGAAATCCTGTGTGAGAGTGATGGGGAGCAGAAGGTGATATCTGGGGAAGTGGATCTATATAGGGCCTGATGTGGTATGTGAGTGAAAGTGAGTGTATTGTTTAGGATGAAGAGCAATTCTTGTTTGCAGATCTCTACCCACGAGCCCCCAATAGCGAGGTTTGCTATTAGAGTAGCAATTTTATACTTACAAGTCGTGCTTCAGACCAACTTGCTAAATTAAAGGTTGTATTACTAGTCGTGCTTCAGACCAATTCGCTGAGTTCAAGGTTGTGTTTCAGACGCGAAATTTTAGAAGACAACGCAGCGTTCGCGTGGTACGCGGAGGGCAGCAACGTGTGTCCCGTGAGGATCAACAGCGACGGCGTCGGTCTGCTGAAGCTGTGGCAGCAACAGCTGCGTCAGTTCACCAACGTCGGTCTGGAGACCGCGCAGGCCATTGCTCGGGCCTACCCTGCACCCAGGCTTCTTATTCAGGTCAACAAGAGAAGATTAAGTTAGTAATTCGATAAAATAAATTTATTAGCAGTTCACCAGTGTTGGTCTGGAGACCGCGAAGGCCATCGCTGGGGCACCCAAGCTTCTTATTCAGGTCAATAATAGAGGATCAAATTAATAATTCAGTCAAATGCAGTTATTTTGTTTTTCATGTAATATTTTTACTTTATTCATTTTTGTTATTGGCACCGATCTATTTCATTAAGGATTAATTTTAGCATGAATTTTTGTTGTTCTGTTCATGTTTTGATAGAAGCTATTGTTGTTCGTTCGTTATAGAATGAATTTATTTGGTTTTTCATTTAATATAGAATAGAGGATTTTATTAGTAATTCAATCAGATGCATTTATTTGTTTTTTTTTATATAATATTCTTGCTTTTTTCATTTTCTTTATTGGAAAATTTATTTTATTTTTTTCCTATATATATTTCCTTTTTATATATATTTCTTTCTTTATTTATTTTTATATTTCATTTTTTCTTCATGCATTTAGGATAAATTTTGGCAAAAATTTTTGTTGCTTCGTTGATAGTAGCTGTTGGTGTTCCTTCGATAAACATACTATGAATGTGGCCAATATTTCTATCGCTTGCGTTTCTTTTAGTTGAATCTGGAAGAATTATTTCCAATTTCCTGACAAGACTTTCATCTGCTGTACTAATTGAACGCAGCCATATTCCAATGTCAAGAATGTTATATTTTTATCTAAAACCATTGATGTACTTTGGTGTAAAAATTCATGATAACTTTTTACATAATAATTAAAAATAAATAATAAAAATAAATAAAAATTCAAAATAATTCATAACTTTTTACTATAACATAAAAAGTTATAGTAAAAAGTACTACCTATAACTGATATATAAAATACACAGGCATACGAACGCCTCCCCTTGGTGTAAATATTCATGATAACTTTTTACATAATAAATAATAGAAATAAATACAAATTCATAACTTTTTACGATAACAAAAAAAGTTATAGTAAAAGTACTAGGTATAACTGATACATATATAAAATACGCAGGCATACGAAGGCCTCCCCGCGGCCGAGGCAGCGCAGTTGCTCGCCGACATCGCCGTGGTGCGAGGCGCGGGCCCCTGCATGACTACACGCAAGCTGGGCAAGGAGCTCAGCAAGAAGATCTACACGTTCTTCACGTCATCGCAGCCTTGCCAAGCACTTGGCAGCTGAGGGCCTGTCTCTTATACACATCTAGATGTGTATAAGAGACAGGTGTAACAGTACATGTACGGTGAGTGACACGTGTAACAGTACATGTACGGTGAGTGACGCGTGTAACAGTACTTGTACGGTGAGTGACGCGTGTAACAGTACATGTACGGTGAGTGACGCGTGTAACAGTACTTTTTCGTTGATATTCAAAGCTTTAAACGTATCGCAATAGCTCCGTTATAGCAAAGACAAACCTTGCGAACAACGTCCTTCCGAGGCCGTTATATAAAATATTGTCTATAAAATATCAAAATATATTGTAATATCATAAATAGTTCGTAATGTCATCAGGCAATCACAGACGAATTTTCAAGCTAAACCGACCAATGGAGGACGATAAATCGGGCAGTAAGTTTACTTAAAGATCGTTTGTAGACAGTACGGCCCCCTCTTAACTTAATTAAAACTTAAGTTCTGTGCGATGAAGAACACAAGTTGTGTTCTCGGATTTGACCAGAAAGTGCACTTTGTATTCGGCGAGCTTGGGGCATTTGACTTGAAATAATATGAGCTCTTGTCGAGAATTTTGTGTACGATTACTTTCGATTAGTAAGAAGTTTGTAACCGTGTGTTAAGCAGGCGAACAGTTCCGAGTTAGTGAGTTAGAGAATGTTAAAGTTATTCAACATACTAGAACATTAAAAAATACATTTTGCTCCTGTACGTGTCCAGCGAATTTTAAGAATACTGAATAAGGGTGGAAGGATCAACGTTCATTCGTTTTTTTATTTCAGTTTCCACATTAATCCACAAACCGCGACTAAATCTTTTATAAATACGAGACGTGCTTTTAACATAACATAACATAACATAGTGATGTCGGCGCTGAAGTGTAGGCCTGATGTGGCCTGCATGTCGCCGATCCTTTTCCTTTTCGTGCCTTGTTCACAGAAGATCTAATATCGTTTCATTTGACCGGATCTTTTCATGACTGACGATAGTTTGAATAGAAGATCTAAACGTTCTTCACGTCATCACAGCCTTGCCAAGCTCTTGGCAGCTGAGTGTTTGCATTACTTGGCGAACGCGAAGCTCGTTTTGACTGATAGCATAATACGATGTGAAGTTTGTAAATTAATTTTTTGTTATGTATCTAATAATATTAAATTAAGACAAAACTGTGTCTGTACAATTATATCTAATTTTAAACTCTAAGAATGCTTGGAAACTTTAAGTATACTACCATGCAGAACGTAGCTACTTGGTGTATGAAAATAAAAACTAATTGTGATAATATATATATAACCTGTATACCCTACTCTATATATTAGTTCTGCTATTTATAAATATTGAAATGCTTACCTGTTAAGCGCACGATTGCTTGTTATTTGATAATCCTAAGTAATTTAAAATTGACGTGTCAAATTTGAAGATTTTAAAAATCTGTGCATTGGATGATGTCACTCGCTTGGAAATCTTCTACTTCGATATTTTTTTCATTTTAAAGTATTGGTTGTTTTGATGCTTGGAAATTTATTTGGGCACTTTCTTAGGTATTTTCTCATTTAATTCGCTAGTTCCAAGTTTTATTGGAAAAACTGCTCCTAAAATACCTTTTATAACACACAGTAATGATTAATTACTGATTTTATTAAGAAAAATATCTGCTTTGTGTAGGATAAATTCAGGCAGTTAGCCTGCCCTGTCCAAGATGTCCTGCCGTGCGTCCAAATGTTCTTTTGTGTGACTCATAATAAAATATTTCTACGAATTTTACTGGTATTTTATAAAATCCTACTTTAGGTTAATTATCAGCAGGTATTTTAACTATAGATACCTTTATATATTATTCGAAAATAACTTCAGATTGGAACTTGTAAGGATTTAGGAACGTTACACGTGTGGCAAATTTTGTTTGAAATTCGTTTCCGCAAAAATGGGGCATTTCCCTGTTTGGGGACTGACAACCCCACGGAAATTCAGTCTTTTCATTTCATAATTTTCATGATTGGTTTAGGCCCACCCACATGCTATTTTTGGCTTAATTTTGATTTTTTTTATGTTTTTGTCCCGAATGAACATGAACGCGTATATTTGCCTTCTCTTTTGGTAGCAAATCTATGCCATGAGAAGGTAGCAAATTCATTTTTCATCTCCCACTGTATCCTTCAACACCGAATATATTGATTTTTTATTTTGTTTTTCTCTGGAAAACTAACAGCTTCCGTCACAGTACAACTATTGATATTCAAATTCAGTACAAACATATTCAGAAAAATTTAATGCATCTTGTATGTATGTAATGCATTTTGTATGTGGAAGTTTTATATCCGAACATTTAATGATGTGCGAGATAAAATTTTCTACGTTCAAAGTTCAATGCATGAAATGCTCGGTTCTGTTTTATTTTAATGAAAATGTTGAAAACTAGCATCAATTACGATTGTAAATTTTTGATAAAAGATACGTAAATTTTATAATAGTAAAATGAGATCTACGGTGACATATTCACAGATATCGATTATGTCACGTATATGGGTTGGGTAAAATAAGGGAAACGCCTGACATTTTGATATCGTAATTTTTTAACATGTTATAAACAATGAAAGCTTAACATTTTTATGTTTTTTTTGTTCATTGTTGCTGCTAATGGATATTCTATCCTTGCACAGATATTTTTAGCAAATTTTTCATGTCTGTAACCTCACCAATAAATGGCAAACCTCTCTGACTTTCAAAGAGGCCAAATGGTTGGTGCCCGTATGGCCGGTGGTAGTGTGACAGAAACTTCCCGAATACTTGACGTTTCTAGAGGTACTGTCTCAAAAGTAATGACTGCTTTTGCAAGAGATGGAGAAATGTCCTCAGCAAAGCACATGGTCTGGCCGGAAGTCGAAGTTGTCTGAGAGAGACCGTCGGTACCTAAATCGAATTGTGAATATTGAGGGACAATCGAAAGACCACGGCTGTTAAAATTACTGCAGACCTCAATGGTGACCTACAAAAACCAGTTTCCATAAAGATTGTACACCGAGAGCTGCCAAGATCTGGATTCTATGGAAGAGCTGCAATTAGAAAATCTCTGGTTTCAAATACAAATGTTTCAAAGCGTTTAGAGTGGTGCTGAACATCAAAAATTGGTCCCTCCTTTAGTGGAAAAATGTGATTTTCTCTGACGAATCATCGTTTATTTTATTTCCAAATTATGGCCGATTTCACGTTTGGAGAGCCAAAAGAGTCATTTAACCCCGACTGCCTTCTCCCAACCGTAAAATATGGCGAGGGATCTGTGATGACGTGGGGTGCTATTTCTAGGAAATCCAGTGGACCAACTATTTTTCTTCGTCAGAGAATCAACAGCCGTGACTATTTAGGAACTTTGGAGGACCATGTTCATCCAATGGTTCAAGAACTGTTTCCGGAGGGGAACGCCATCTTTCAAAATGATAATGCCCAGGTCCATGCAGCTGGAATTAAAAAAAAAGCACCAAGAACATTCCAATGAAGTTGAGCATCTCATTTGGCCACCACTATCACCAGACCTGAATGTTTTAGAGCATTAATGGTCGATTTTAGAGACGCAAGTCAGAAGTCGATTCCCGCCGCCATCGTCTTTAAAAGAGCTGGATGGAGATTTAGCCAAAGAATGGGTTGAAATTCCTTTGAAAACAATTCACAATTTGTATGAATCAAAACCTCGGAGAATTGAGGCTGTAATTGCCGCTAAAGGTGGACCTACACCAAACTAAAATATATTTTGTGGATTTCTCAGGTGTTTCCCTTATTTTGTCTAACCCTTGTATAAATGTACCCCTTTCCCACTAAAATTTTTATTTACGGCATGCAAATTTCTAATATCGTGCGCTTTTATTTCTCTGAAGTTGTGTGAAGTTTTGTTTTGCCCTCTTTTTCGAACTCGTAAGTTCCGTTCATTCGAAATTTTCATCCAATTCAAAGACCTCGTCATGCCCGCGAGCAAAACATACGGAAATTTTATCACCGCGTCCACAAAAATGCCTGCTAGTTCCGAAAATGACTTGGACGAACACAACATCAAAATGAACGGGAATGAAACCAGGTATTTTCACCTTGAAAATTAACGGAATATATTTTGTTATAAGTATTTACAAACACATTTGATAACATAATTATTTTTATTTTTTTTTTCTTTAATGTGAACAATCTTTTCTATCCATCCTCCCTTCATTATGGAGGATTCGACAAAATGAGCTTGATTTAAATGTGACCAAAATATGACGAAATGTGTTAAATTTATAGTTCGTTTTAAAAGGATTTTAACCCTTGTCGGATTGCATAGGTACAATTGTAACTGAACTTTATACTCGGCACGATTATAACGTTGTAACATTATGCAACATGACAAGGGTTAAGAATGCAACGAAATTTCGTTTTTTCAGCAGATCTGTCCAGAGCTTTTCCCCGGGAGTTTCCGAACTATCGAATATCGAAGCCGCGTCTAACAATCGTAAGTGAATTACGTGTTAATTTATCTCGCATTTTCAATCGTGGGCTATTTAAAAAAAACAGGGAAAGACTTTAGTTACTCTCATGATGATAACGCTCCAGTTTTTGTAATATACTGTTTTCTCCTACTTCAACCTATTCTCATTTGCAAATTGTTACCGCTGTTGTTGGAGATGATAATAAGCAGATTGTTGTCTCATTAGCAGATTGTTCTTCCATTTCATTGTAGTCTTGTACCATCCCTTTATCACCATAAATGGGGATGCGTTTAATTTATTTTTGAAGATACATTTTAATACGATCCGTTGCGAATGACCCCGATAAAGATTAATTTGTTAAAGCGATTTGATGGCTAATTTGTTTTCTAAATATAAATGATGATATGAAATTAATGATGACTAATTAGTCTTCTTAATATAAATGATGATGATATAAAATAAATGATGGCTAATTTGCTTTCTAAATATAAATAATGATGTAAAATAATGATGATTAATTTGTCTTCTAAACATAAATGATGATGATGATGATGATGATATAAATAAATAATGACTAATTTGTCTTCTAATGAATCGGGTTTCAATAAATTATTTCTGACTTTGCTGCTCGTTGCTGCCCCCAGAGCTGGTGTACAACGAGCAGCGGAAGGACAGTTTAGCTTGGGAGGAATACTTCATGGCTCTTGCTTTCCTCTCTGCCCAGCGCAGTAAAGATCCGTGTTCCCAGGTCAGATCATTTCTGTATTTCTGTATTTATTCAGTATTTATTATTTATTTTGTGTTTATTATTTATTTTGTGTTTAGTATTTATTTTGTACTTGTTATTTATTTTGCGTTTTTTATTTATTTTGCATATATTATTTATTTTGTTTTTATTATTTATTTTGTGTTTATTATGCATTTTGTGTTTATTATTTATTTTGTCTTTGTTATTTACTTTGCGTTTATTGTTTATTTTGTATTTATTATCTATTTTGTGTTTATTATTTAATTTGTATTTATTGTTTATTTTGTATTTATTATCTATTTTGTGTTTATTATTTATTTTATGTTTATTGTTTATTTTTTTATTTATTATTCATTTTGTTTATTATTTATTTTGTGTTTATTATTTATTTTGTGTTTATTCTAGATTTTGATGTTTAAATGAGCAATGGTAACGTTTTAATTTTGGGCAATTTAATTTCTGCTCAATGATTAGTGTAAAATCGTAAAATTAAAGGAAGTTAAGGTATAATTTCACTTTCAATTCTCAGTAACTTTTCTTGCAATAATAATAATTGCATTAATAATAATAATTTGTAATTTATTGTTTATTTTCAACAGGTGGGAGCTTGTATAGTGAACGAACGTAACCAAGTTTTAAGCATCGGTTACAACGGCATGCCTAGTGGCTGTCCTGACCAGGATATGTGTTGGGGGAAGAAAGATCCTCTTGAAATAAACAATAAATACATGTACGGTGAGTGACGCGTGTAACAGTACATGTACGGTGAGTGACGCGTGTAACAGTACATGTACGGTGAGTGACGCGTGTAACAGTACATGTACGGTGAGTGACGCGTGTAACAGTACATGTACGGTGAGTGACGCGTGTAACAGTACATGNGCTTTATCTAGTCTGTTCTTGAACGCGTTCATACTTGGAGCGCCAACGATGTCATCGGGGAGGCTATTCCACATGTCGGTGATTCGAAGCGAGAAGAAATTTTGTCGCGTGGAGAAGTTGCAGCGCAGTTTTTTTAGTTTATAGCCGTGGCTCCTGGTGTTGGTTCTTGTTTCAAATTCTAGTAATCCTTCGGAGACCTTGTATAAACCATGAGTATACTTGTATACTTCAATGAGGTCCCCACGCAGACGTCGATAACTGAGGCTTGGAAGCTTCATAATCTTCAAGCTTTCTTCATAGGACTTGCCCTTCAAGCCTGGAATTATCCTTGTTGCACGTCTTTGAACATTCTCTATTAAATTTCTGTCCTTTTCAAATCTCGGTGACCACACAACGTTTCCAAACTCTAGACTCGGGCGCACGACAGCAACAAACAACTGCTTCATCGCTTCTGCATCTAGGAACTTGTATGAGCGTCTGATTAGTCCAAGAAGTTTGTTGTATGTGTTAGCTTGCATTTCAGCATGCTTAGAAAATTTCAGTTCCTTGTCGACATAAACTCCGAGATCTTTTTCCACACTGGACTTTTCAATCATTACCCTCTTGTTGCAACCATATGTCTTCTCATACTGTAATCTTGCTGTTCAGTGTTCTTCCCGAGGTGAAGTACTTTACACTTGTCTGCATTAAACCGCAGCTGCCACGTATCAGCCTAGTTAACTAAACTGCCAAGATCATCTTGTAATTGCGCTTTATTTGACGCATCTTTCACTGTATTATAAACTTTTGTGTCGTCGGCATACATGGAGCACCCGCTGGAGACTGCTTCTGGCAAATCGTTTATAAAAGCAACGAACAAAATAGGCCCAAGAACGCTTCCTTGTGGCACGCCACTGCGCACTGATGCCCAGTCTGACACGGTTCCCTTAATACTGACACGTTGTCGTCTACCTACTAGAAAATCTCTGATCCATTGGAGTACGTTTCCCTCAATTCCCAAAGACTTCACTTTACGCAACAGCCGCTCATGCGGAACACTGTCAAATGCTTTGGCAAAATCGAGGTACAATGCATCCCCTGGCTCCCTTTCGTTCCAGCAGGCGAGTCCAATCGTTCAACGTAGATAATAAGTTAGTGGTGCAGGATCTACCGGCGATAAAATCATGTTGACAATCTGATATGAGATGGTGAGCAGTCTAGTTATCGATAATCCTATCCCTCACAACAGATTCCATTAGCTTACAAACAACACTTGTCAGACTGACAGGGCGATAGTTGCCGGGGCTGCTTTTGTCACCTTTTTTGAACACATGATTTTTGCACTACATGACTACAATTTTCAGTATGCCAGTCATGGCAGATATTATCACATTTCCATTCATATTCTTACGTGAACAACATTTGCTATTTTCAGTTTGCCACGCCGAACTGAACGCAATCGTGAACAAGAACAGCGCTGACGTGCGAGGCGGCCGCGTTTATGTCACGCTGTTCCCGTGCAACGAGTGCGCGAAGCTCATCATCCAGTCCGGCATCGTCGAGGTCGTATATTTTTCTGACAAACATTGCGACAAAGATTCTACCAAAGCATCGAAGTTTCTGCTCAACAAGAGAGGCGTTTACTACAGGTCAGTATTTTCGCTGCACCATGTTCAGTTTAAGGACCAAGTTCATCGAATGGTTTATGCACTGTTTCCCGATGGGGAACGCCATCTTTCAAGCTGATAATGCCCCGATCCATACAGCTGGTTGTGTTAAAAAATAGCATCAGGAACATTCTTATGAAGTTGAGCATCTAATTTAGCGAGAGATTTCACTGCAGAGCTACGTAGTCCCGGAGCTGAGTATTCGGAACTGCGGTGCGAAATCCGTGTTTAGTTAGATCGATCCCATACTCGAAATTCAGTCAAGAAGATCGCTGTAGTTCATTGGTTTTGTGGTAACAGACAGTTTTCTGTTAGCCATTTCTTTGCACTCGTTCAGTGAGAGCGCTGAGACCACTTGACAGCGACCGAGGAATTCGCTATCATTCCCTTCACATGGTTCTCCTAGCAACATAATTTTTTCACCTTATATACAACTTGGAGTATGATTGTTGTTAAAAGACTTGGTAAGCGAATTAGTTGAAGAAATTAGTACAAACATGTAAACACAGAAAAGACAGGATAAAAGGCCCATGCATGCTGCTCCAAAAGCGATTTGTAAAATTGTCCTCTCAACATTTATCATTTTGCAAATTTCATGTATTTTGGGGTAAAATCTAAGAATTTGGACTTTATAGATGTAGTAACAAGAAATATTTCAGAATGTAGCTTATTCACTAGATATGGCTTGCTAATAAAGTGAATGAATTTCACAGTAAACTGTTCAGCCTGTCTAGAGCGGTATAGCAGAGCCGTAAGAGAACACAAAATTTTGTTGGGATTGGGATTCCAGAATAAATTCTTGCCGAGCTAAACTTTCTCATTAAAAGTACATGGACTATCTTATATCGGTTCAAAGTCAACTCAGACATTTTAGATTCATCAGGAAGAACAATGAATAACCTTCAACATTTTTTACAAAAGATCAGTGAAGGATGTTATTGTAAAAAATTGTGAGAAGTTTGAAATTCATTATAGTTGAGTTCTACAATTTTGACCAAAAAATTAAGGAACATTAAGATTTGCTTCATAAAATTATTATTAAAAAGTAATGCCTGTTAAGTGATCTGATTATTTATAATATAGATCACATTGTAGAAATTCTTTGATGATTTTCATACGAGTTTAAAAAAAAAAGATTTTTATGTTTATACTCTAGTACACTTAAGTAATTGACAACTTACAGGAAGAAGAATACATTTCAATAGGAAAAAATGTTTAAAAATGTATATTTGAGTTAAGAGTTATTTTCACAAAACTGCAATTGTTTTTCTAGAAAATACGCCAGTTCTTTGACGCAACTGAGGCTTGAATTCAACTTCAACGCAGTCACTCAACAAACCAGCGTTGCTGCAACCCAAGACGCGGTCCAACAACTCTGCTCTGACTTACGTAACTGCTGCAACGTCGAGACTAACGCCAACGTCGTTTGTTCTGAGGATACCAACGCTAGAGGTCTTGAACGTGAGTGGATGATAAGAACTTATTTTTTTATGCAGTATAAGGTGGAGCCAGACTTTGACTCGGTCAACTTCCACAACAAATCATTAGTGAATTGTCATAAAGATCTTAGATTTTATTAACTTGCCTTGCATATTAAAAGTTAACTGATTTTAGGACTGCAGTCCTTGATATTTGAGATGCCGCCTGTTATATTTTATGTTATTAGCCAATAGACCTAAAATATGAAACGCTAACATACGAGTCCCTTTATACCTCTGCACCTGCAACTATATTATCTCATTCCTCTGCATCTGCAGCCACCTCAACCGCCACCACCACCGCCACCTTATCTCTAGCTGACCCGTCGGAACTGCCGCGCCCCAGCGGCGCCTACATCAGCTGGGAGGAATACTTCATGGCGGTGGCATTCCTCTCCGCCCGCCGCAGCAAGGATCCCGCCGTTCAGGTATTTCTTCACAAACGAGTTACGTGACTCAAAAAATTTTGAAATCAGGATTCAAAATTTTGAACTTTTCAGGAATTTGAAAAAAAAAACTCAGGAAAATTTTGTAAAAATCTTATTGAGGTTTTTCAAGAACTCGGGCAAATTACGTTGAAAAGCCATTCACAAGGCGAATCAATCAATTAAATTTCCTGTACCATGAAATTAATTATCATTGTGCACAAGAAAAGTTGTGTAGATGAACTGAAAATTCTTTGCCGAAGAATGAAAACGAAGAAAAAATGATATGTATATTTGGGTAGATATTGTTTGGGTGTTGAATCTAAAACATATCTTGGCAGGTCGGGGCCATGCTAGTGGATTTATTACGTAATATTTTCATGTTAATTGTTTAGGCGTACAATCGTGAACATAACGTGGCGGGTCAGGGCTTGTCTAGTGGATTTATTACGTTCTATTTTCATGTTAATTGTTTAGGCATAAAATCTTGAACATAACTTGGCAGGTCGGGGCTTGTCTAGTGGACTTATTACGTACTATTTTCATGTTAATTGTTTAGGCATAAAATCTTGATCATATCTTGGCAGGTCGGAACTTGTGGATTTATTACGTAACATTTTCATCTTAATTGTTTAGCTGTAAAATCTTGAACATAACCTGCCAGGTCGGGGCTTGTCTAGTGAACGATGAACGCCGTATCGTAGGAATCGGCTACAACGGTCTGCCCAACGGCGTGCACGACGCTCTCGTCAACTGGCATCAAACGGACCCAAATTCTCCTCTCTTCAAGAATTTCTACGGTCAGTGGAATGGCGTCGAGTTTCCTGGGCTTTTAGGATTCAGTGGTTTTACAATGCAGATTTATATTTGATAATAACAATTTCTAATTTATGAACAATAAGTTCAAGAATATACTCATATGTACGGAATATATTGGAATCAAAGTAATATTTAATTTCAGTGGAATGACTTCGAGTCAACTGGGCTTTTAGGATTCAGTGGTTTTACAATGCAGATTTTTAGGATTCAATGGTTTTACAATGCAAATTTATAATTGATGATATCTATTTTAAAATTTCTGAACTATAGGTCTTGAAGAATAAACTCGTATTTACGGAATAATATAAGAATCAAAGTAAGAATGCATATGTAAGTTTCTATAGGCATTGACTGTATTAGTCGCGGTGATTGATTGTATTCATATGAAATTTACTGAATACTACACTGACATGAATGGTTTAAAAGTCCATATCAGGTGCAGAGAAAATTGTGTCTGACTTAACTGTGAAGTTTTCCTTAATTTATTTTTTGAGAACGGGCAAGGAATTTAATATATAGTTTGCCCCCATGCATTTACCTACCTTTTATCTATAAAATTAAAATTGCAACATTTTATGGAGAGGATATTTTTCTCCTTTACTAGCTGGACCAAGTGAAAAATGCCGTTGAGGTGAGTTAAATTTCAAATTTAATTACCTACTTTATTTTATTATTTATTTCTCTCACTCCGTCATATACTTTTAATTCGAATGCTAACGACTTTTAGATTTTAATCATTTGATTTTTTAAAGGTGTCTTTGGCCTATCTTTTTAGCCTACAATTCTGCATGCATATTTTTTATACATGAAAATGAAAAGACAAGTAACCTTGCCATCTGCATTCAAACCCAAAGTTCATAACCTAATTTTATTATGCATCAACGAAACCGGCGTTAAATAATGGAGTAAACTACACTATTACCTTATTGTTACTACTTTGCCTTAATCCTAGCCACATTCTAATTCATATCAGACAAAACTGTAAATATATCCACATAGGAAGAGCCATAAATAAAATACAAATTTACGCAATGATTTAATATTCGGAGATGAGTGTGTATTACAGTCTATACGTGAACGAACGTGTTTTATTGCAGAATTGTTAAGTAAATTTTTAGATAAATTTCTTGTTCATTTGAACATAAGTGAATGTTTGAACTCCATCTTTTGTGGAATTGATCATGTTTAACATTGTGAGAACATTAATTAGGCGAGTGTTGTTTGGTAGGACAAAATTAACTCACGTTTCTTCCATTCTTAAGTCAGAATCTACAGAATAAAAATACAGCTTGATTAAAAGTATATGGTAGTGAAATGACAGAAATTGTAAATAAATATGTTAGTGAGTGAGATTTCGAATTATTATTTAATTGGATAACGAAAGAAGAAAATGGGTACAATTTCCCAATGCAGACCGCTCTCACAAGGTGTCCGAACCTCCAAAATTTATTAATTTATTGATTATGAACATAATATAACCAGAGAAATGTAGTAAGGAAATATATTTTTAATTATTATATACAATTATTTTTAAATTAAATCGGCAAAATTTCAAAATGGTAAAAAAATTAATGATGTGAACGCGTTATTACATGTGAATTACGATGACTTTGATGATGATTGCGGTTAAAAAAAAATTAGAAATTTGATCGATTTGATTTAAATTCGCATAATTATTATGTAAACATGGTTTATTGATCGAGGTTATTTTGTGGGACGATCTGAGTTTAGCAAAGTTATTCAACAGTGTTGTCTTAAATTCATGGTTAAAAACTTTATCTGTACAAAACGTCAATTCGCGACTTTTTAGTTAGTAAAGAGATCTAAAAAGTCATTCTTTATCGACATAATACCCATATAAAAATCTTGACTAATAAGGGGATATTTCTTATGTTTAAAATTACATAGTAATTGCAAATTATGGCGTGTAGGATTAAGTGAGAAAGTTTCAAATTCTTTAATTGATGGTCCGATATATCTATAAAGAAATAATTTTAGGCATTTTTTCGACAAAAATATATTTGGCTTAGATTCATAAACTCAGAGCGTTCCATAACATAAAGATCACCTTCTTTTGGAACTGCGGAAATGATGGGATATTAAATGGACGACTTTAATTATTTACTTTATATTAAAAGTTGCTGGACCAATTGAACCCAAGCGAATTAAAGTTTCGTTTATAACTGTAGCAAGGAAAGATTGAAAATAAAAACTTCTGGTAGCTTATCTTTATCGTCACGAATACTTTATGACGTGAACATGAATCGGAAACGAAATAAAAGTGCATAACTGAATTGATGATTTATTTAAGGATAAATTCAAATTGAACATAACAAAATGAAATTTCTTGTAAGTCAAAGTGTTTAATTTTCTGTGAATCAAAGTTTTGTGAAAGCTTTTCAAAAAAAAAGCTTTTGTGGCCAAAAGATTTTTTTTATTGAAATAAAAATAATCACGAGGAGCGTAGTAAGATTATTGAGAATTTGCTACTACCGGGATCATACGGAATCGTCGAAAGCTCGGTTTGTGTGCGGTGTCGTGTTCCGTGTGCGGTGTCGTGTTCCGTGTGCGGTGTCGTGTTCCGTGTGCGGTGTCGTGTTCCGTGTGCTTGTGTTCCGTGTGCGGTATCGTGTACCGTGTGCGGTGTCGTGTTCCGTGTGCGGTGTTGTGTTCCGTGTGCGGTGTCGTGTACCGTGTGCGGTGTCGTGTTCCGTGTGCGGTGTTGTGTTTCGTGTGCGGTGTCGTGTACCGTGTGCGGTGTTGTGTTCCGTGTGCGGTGTCGTGTACCGTGTGCGGTGTTGTGTTCCGTGCGCGGTGTTGTGATCCGTGTGCGGTGTCGTGTTCCGTGTGTGTAATCCGGTCAAAAATTTTTAGAAATAAGCGAAGAATATTTTAGTGAATTGAAGTTCATTGAAAATGAATAAAGCTTTCACATAATGCTGAAACTAACTTATAAATATATCAGAATTCGGATGTATATTTCCGATTCATCACGAAGCATTTTAATTAAGTTTATTCGAAAACATTTTAAAGCTTTCGGCATGGCGCCGAGACAGTCTTGGTATCGTGGCTAGTGCAACTATAAAGGAAATTCAGTTATTTTAAATAACAGTTAAAACTAATTATAACAAAGTTATTCCGTTCTTATAGTAACTAAATAACTTATAAACGACCTTATGTTGCTGGTTGTTCATCTTTCAGTATGCCACGCCGAAGTGAACGCAGTTCTGAACAAGAACTACACAGACGTTCGCTCGTGCACGCTGTACGTGACCGCGTATCCGTGCAACGAGTGCGTTAAGCTGCTCGTGCAGTCTGGGGTTAGGAAGATCGTTTATTTCTCGGAGCCTGGAACATCGGACGCTAGCGTCGTGGCGTCCAAGAAGATATTCGCCCTTACAGGAGTTGAAATATTTAATTACATGTGAGTTATAAAAACGCTTAGACTAATTAACTGTATTTTTAGCGCATTTTCTTATTTATGGAAACAATGCCCTATTGTGCTCGTCATGTCCGTCCGTCTGTCTGTATGTCTGTCTGTCTGTCCGTCCGTTCGTCCGTCCATGACTTCACGTTTTCGTCGACGAGAAAGTGCGCTCTCTGTCACTCACTGCAGTGAGTACTGAGTCATATTTTTGGATATTGCTGGTTAATTAAAGTTAAATTTGTTCAATTCTTTGTACATGTAGATTCGTTATGTTTATTGCTGATCATTATTTCTAGCCAGCTCGACACGTAATTTTATGATGATTTCTAATAAGTGAATAATTTTGAAAGAAAAAATTAATCGATTTCAGAATTGATAACATTTGCTTCTTGATATTACTTTAATTTCAGGTCACTTGGGAACGTGAGGAAAGAAGTGAAGTTGGATTTTTGTATCATCGATAATTGACGTACGACGCTTCCGGCCAAAGCTGAAATTTTGATCTGAAAATATGGAAGTACGCATTAACAACTGGGCAATAATAATGGTTAAAAATTATGAACAACTTCTTACCTCTTACTAATCATCTCATTCTAAACAATCAAAATCTTTGCGTTGTCCATGGAATAAGTATTCTTAGTTTCTTGATCTCTCTCACATCTTCAGTATTTTATCGTAATGATATGCAGTGACGCTAACTTTTTAAATCTTCAGACTTCTCATTTGAATTATATGTTTTTAAAAAATCAATGATGATTAATTTGGCCGACATTTTTTAATAACCTACCTACAAAATTTGACCGACATTTTTTAATAACCTACCTACAAGTATTATTACGGAGTTTATCATAAATTTTGTTAATCCCTCGCAACGAATAGTTGAGTTAAATCATTGCTACTTCTAAATTGACAGTCATGTTATTTTAAAACGAGTCTAGTTCTAGACAATAAATCTTCATTTTATCTATACGGCTTGAGCCATATAACAATGTTTGATATTCGTTTTTTGGAAAATGCGCGAAATTGTTTATCTGTCTAATCGCTTTATCTATACTCGCTTTTACGACTCAAGATAGATATTGCTTTGACTATACTGCAGCAGGCACGTGAGATCCTATTGTATTTATCATGGTTATGCAAAAATATTCAGGCATTTTGTGTCAACTCTGAGATTGAGGCTTGCGATGCGGAATCTCTACCAATTATCTTCAATGGAAAAATTAGAAAGCAAGGCAAGTGACATGTTATTTCTTTGTATCTTCATTTCTAGTTTTTTTTTATCAACAATAAAAGAAAAGATAATTAATTTATTCAGAAAAAGCAAAAAGAACTCTAACAGCGGAGCGTTTCAAGGTGATTAATAATTTAATTTTGTAACTATACTTATTAATCTTTAGAATCTCTTGGAAGAAATGATTAAATTTCTACATAACTACCAAATATTATTTCATTTGTCAATGCAACTGTCAGAGCAGACATTAAAGAGTTGAAAAACCATCGCACGACATCATCATCATGTTTCATATATATAAAAATTATAAACGTTCACATCTTCGTTTGCAATAAGATTTTTAAATTCTCAAACATCGTCGTTTTCGTCTAAAAAAGCAAGCAAAAAGACTACGTAGTTTCAATTTCAATTCACGAATTAGCTAGCTAGCTTTCACTGTTTGAAGTGGATAAATATATATATATATATATATGAAGTAAATGAATACATAAATAATATAATATACCATAATCATGTACTTCAGCGCGTTCATTTTCACAGACTAACTGGGAAAACACCAAATATTTCTTCTACACTCTTATTGCTGAAAACTTGTACAGTTATAATTAGGTAATCAAATTTTGCTTACTTCTATTCAAGTCAGTCAAAGCTTACTTAAAACTACCTATTAAATTGATTTTTATAATCGATGCGTTTTCCCTGTGAAGGCAGATTTTTGTGAAATCCGATGGTAGAAAGCATCACGACGTATCCGATGAAATTGGTCAATAAAAATATAAAATAAAATAAAAACTCAATGGAAATCCAGTTAAATTAGCGCGCAAAGTATGTCATATAATCAGAGGTGGGCAGTAGCGCGCTACATGTAGCGGCCGCTACATTTTCAGTAGCGGTAGCGCCCGCTACATATTTAAGTAGCGATACGAGGTTTTGCCGCTACGGCGCTACCGCTACATTTATAGATAAAGCCTTTAGATTTTACTTAAGGGGACCGGCTACCCTCCAACAAAACTTTTTTGTTTACAGACGNAAGCGTCGGGGCAAGGCTTTATTAATGGGGTCACGCCACTCTCATTCATTTGAATGAAGTTTAAAGTACTTAGAACATTCCCACTCAACAGTGAGAAAAAGATTATCAATAGTCTTTGCAAACTAAAACAAATGATACCAACATACTCGATGCTTCTCACCATCGCTCCATTCGTCGCGTAAAAATTGCGGCACAAATACATTACATGCATTTTCTGTCAAAATTCCTATACTACTGAAAATTTTCTCTTGCCTGAAAATCATTTTGAATTCCATTTGATGAACGTGACGGGTTAAAAATAAGAGCGTCATAATTATTTTGTATTGAGAACACGTTCAATAAATATTTAGACAAAATAATACGCCATTATTCCATCTGTCTGTACAGTTAAATTTATTATCATAAATAGGGGATTAGCTACAAGAATTAGAAGCTGTAGTGCTATGGAAGCTGGTGCAATTTCTACTGCCACATTTTATTATTTGCACAGGTATTTAGTGTTGAGGTTGCTTTTGCGTAATTGTATTGTAGAAAACAACGTGGTTTTCTCAAGCCTTGGAACACCACAGGCAGTAACGGGAATATTTGTCTTCTTTAAACCATATATGGTTTGAAAACTAACGTTCATAACATCCACATGTCGTTCAAGTACAGAGAAACCTTGTCCCTGCCCTGACGACTTTAGCAGCAGCTCAAGCAGCGGCCCCATCATCAGACAGAGGCTGTCTCTTATACACATCTAGATGTGTATAAGAGACAGGCTGATGCAAGCGTCGGGACACCGCATGACGAAGCCGATGCCAGCGTCGGAACACCGCATGACGAAGCCGATGCCAGCGTCGGGACACCGCTTGACGAAGCTGATGCAAGCGTCGGGACACCGCATGACGAAGCCGATGCCAGCGTCGGAACACCGCATGACGAAGCCGATGCCAGCGTCGGGACACCGCTTGACGAAGCTGATGCAAGCGTCCCACACCGCATGACGAAGCTGGTGTAGCGGGCAGAGGTTGGCAGTAGCGCGCTACATGTAGCGGTAGCGGTAGCGGCGCTACATTTAAGCAATTGTAGCGGTAGCGGTAGCGCCCGCTACATATTTAAGTAGCGATACGAGGTTTTTCTGCTACAGCGCTACCGCTACATTTATAGATATAGCCTTGAGATTTTACTTAATAGTACTTTTTAAATTTTACTTTAATTAATTTTTAGATTACTAGATTTTACTTGATTGATTTTACGAATCTAAACTGAGAGAGATCAGGCAGGAAATGATCTCTCTGGTTGATGGGAAGCTTTCTGACACAATTACACAAGCTACTAGCAGCAGCAGCGATGACGAGAATGCTGATTCGTTCTTTAATGAACTCCAGAAAACACGAAATCTCAGTCACGTCAATGAAGGAGATCGACTAGTGAATAGTTATTTGGAAAGTCCGCTAAGCACCGCTTTACCTGCTCCTGAATCATTTCCTTGTAACCCGTTCCTTGAGATTTTTGTAGAGTACAACACTCCAATCCCTTCTAGTGCTGCGGTGGAGAGGATGTTTTCCTTGGTAAAGGATATCCTAAAGCCAAAGCGTTCAAGCTTTTCGGATGTTCATTTTGAAATGCTGATATTTTTAACAGTAAAAGTTTAACTGAATGGAAATATTATTCCGTGTTGGTTGATTGCGAGTAAATTTTAATATTTTTTATCTTTTAATTTGCTTAAGACTTGCGAGTAAATGTTACAGGTATTGTTATGTTTCATTTTGCTTGCAGGTAAATGTTACAGGTATTTTTATATTTCACTTTGCTTGCGACTGGCGAGTAAATGTTATACAGGTATTTTTTCATGCTTCAGTTTGCTTAGTTATTTTTACGCAGTTATTTTTATGTTTCACCTTCCCTACATGGATGTCTACTTTAATCTACCAATCTCAAAAATTATCCACATATAGATACAAATAAAAAACTGATTTTTTATATGTATACGTGGATAGTTTTTGAGATTAAAGTAGACATCTATGTAGGGAAAGTAAAACATAAAAATAACTGTAACTTTTATTTACTGTATCTAGCCCGTACTAGTTCGGTTAGGTTAATTGCAATAAAGTTGCATTGATATGTTTTGAAAATGTTTTATTATCATTAAATGTTTATGAGTAAATCCCAATAGCAGAACAATAAATATTTAGAGATTTACAATAATTTTGGCCACTGTAGCGGCTAATGTAGCGGCGCTACATTTTACTGTAGCGGTAGCGGTAGCGACCGCTACAATCTAGTGGGTGTAGCGGTAGCGGTAGCGCCCGCTACATTTAGAGCATGTAGCGGTAGCGGCCGCTACATTTCAAAGTAGCGCTGCCCAGCTCTGGTAGCGGGGAACCGCTAACACGTGCTGGTCGCAATCGAAAGTCTACTTTACATTGCGTTGGCGAGAAATGGTGGTCATGGTGCAAGTTATGAAGTCGCAGTCATGAACGAAATACGCTGAAACCAAAGGGTTATTGTGAGACAGCAGTAATCAACATTTTGTGTAAGAAATGATAATTGCTTCCAATAATCACATATGCTACTCATCCTATTCGAACACACTGAAGATCCACGCCCTACAGCAATTGTCTTAAATGCTTAATTTCAACTTACAGGGGTTACAGTGACCTCCTGGGTGGTTCAGACACCTACCACTAAATAATTCAATGACAAATAGGTAAATAGGCAGATTTCTTTCACTGATCAATTTGCAAATAAATATTCCACTTCAAATAATCAAGATGATTTCATATGATGAACCGGGACCGTTACTGGTGATGGGGTTCAATGGAACCAGCAACGTGGCCAAGTAAGTCCATTAAGCTCTCTTAATATTTAAGAGGTGCAATCTTACATAGAGTTGGTTCAGTTTTAAAATTCAGCACGAGGGATACATGTAGAATTGATTCACGTCATCGTAGGACACTTCAGCATGCACCGTCTCTCTAGGAGTTGCATTTCGGGTTCGTAGTACAGCAATCCTCACGATTGATCATTTCAGTGATAAATCGCTACAATTGTCCCTTAAGCCTTCACGGACGATATAGACATCAGGGGAATAGTAACAAATAAATTAGTAGAAATTCACGCCAATTACGGTTACCTCTTTCGTTTCTCGCCCGGTGTTATCTGTCTCCCGCTCTTATCTCTCTTCTTTTTCAAAACTATAAACGCCGCGAGAACTATCGCATACAGGCGCAGAACCCCACAAAATGCAGATTTTACCTTCTACAAAAAATATGAAACGAATAATTTTGAATTTAGCAATTTTCCAGTAATAATATAATCTGGATAATTAAGTATCAAAAAAATCCTAATTATTTTTACTTGAACAATTTCGATGAATAAATATTCTATATAATTGGAGTCTATTCCATTAAACCTATAACTATAAACATCTATACCATTAATAGCTGGTGCAATGACGAAGCTG